ATGTAAGTCATTTTCTTTTACTTTAACAAAGTTAAATGCTACTAATAAGAAACTATTTAATTTTAACACCATCCTATACTCATCTAGTTTTGTTAAGATAATAAATTATAGAAGACAAGTACTTATTTTTATTTTGATGCCCATAATAAGGAGAATTTGCAAGAATGTATCATCGTTTATAGTTATATAACTTCAAAACAGGAATTTTTTTGTTTTTTTTTTCAATTTTTTTATTGAGAAAAGGAAAAGAAAAAAAAGTTTCCACCTCCTCCCAGCCTCCCATTTCCCTCCCTCTCCTTCCACCCTTCTCCCCCTCCCTCCACCCCTTTCCCCCTCCCTCCACCCCTTTCCCCCTCCCTCCACCCCTTTCCCCCTCCCCCCACTCCACTCCCCCTTCCTCTACAATCCAAAGAGCAGTCAGGGTTCCCTGCCCTGTGGAAAGTCCAAGGTCCTCACCCCTCCGTTCATGTCTAGGAAGGTGAACATCCAAACTGGCTAGGCTCCCACCAAGCCAGAACATGAAGTAGGATCAAAACCCCTTGCCATTGTCCTTGGCTTCTCATCAGCCCTCATTGTTTGCCATGATCAGAGAGTCCTGTTTTATCCCATGCTTTTTCAGTCACAGTTCAGCTGGCCTTGGTGAGCTCACAATAGATCAGCCCCACTGTCAGTGGGTGGGTGCACACGTCGTGGTCCTGACATTCTTGCTCGTGTTCTCCCTCCATCTGCTCCTCATTGGGACTTTGAGAGCTCAGTCCAGTGCTCCAGTGTGGGTCTCTGTCTCTATCTCCATCCATCACCAGATGAAGGTTCTATGGTGATATGGAAGATATTCGTCAGTATTGCTATAGGATAGGGTCATTTCAGGTTCTCTATCCTCAGCTTCCCAAGGGACTAATTGGGGTCATCACCTTGGGCTCCTGGAAGCCACTCTAGGTTCAAATCTCTTGCCAACCCTAACATGGCTCCCTTAACTAAGATATGTGCTTCCCTGCTCCCCTATCCTACCTTCCTTTATCCCAATCTTCCTTTTTCCCCAAGTTCTCCCAATTCTCCCCTTCTCACTTTTCTCTCCCCGTCAGCCCTTATCCCCACCCCACCCCGCTCCCAAGATCTTAATTTTCTCCCCGACAATTTTGTCTACTTCCCATAGCCAAGAGGATAACTATATGTTCTTCCTTGGGTTCACCTTCTTATTTAGCTTCTTTAGGTTCACCAGGTATACACTCTGTGACCTTTATTTATGGCTAGAAACCAATTATGAGTGAGTACATCCCATGTTCATCTTTTTGGGTCTGGGTTACCTCGCTCAGGATAGTGTTTTCTATTTCCATCAATTTGCATGCAAAATTCGAGAAGTCATTGTTTTTTACCGCAGCATAGTACTCTAGTGTGTATATATTCCACACTTTCTTCATTTATTCTTCCATTGAAGGGCATCTAGATTGTTTCCAGGTTCTGGCTATTACAAATAATGCTGCTATGAACATAGTTGAACAAATGCTTTTCTCATATGATAGAGCATCTCTTGGG